TATATATGTAGATGATATAGATAAACGAGAGCAGGCTGAAAAGTTGGGGTGTTCAAATAAAAGCAAGAGGAAAGGATAGAGTATATATGAGAAATATTATATATGTATGTGCAGTGGTAATGTAAAAAATATAAATAAATATAAAATATAAGTAGGCCAAATTACAATATAAAAAACCTAAAAATTTAATAATATTATAATATTTCCGATTTTATTTTGGAGCAGCATTCATGTATTATGTATGGAATCGAAAAACAATCAATTTTATATGGCTTGATCTAAAATCTTCTCTGTCATTTCTAGGCCGTATAGAGACCAGTAATGGTGGCTCTGGTCTCTATATTTTCATCTTCCATAGCTTTAGACTTCGTTCCGTTTGAAGAACTGAGCCTACATTTTGGAACAACTATTTTAAGTATTTTTACATGATCCAATTTTAGATCTCATTTCTATATGTTTTCGAGAATTATAACAGTTATACTCTTGTTAAGTTTTTGTTCTCTAGATATTGAGCTGTTTAAATAAAAAATATAGATTAAGAAATATATTTTAATAAAATTCTAATTTCAATTTAATTTGATTTAAATTATTTTAAAAATATATGAGTTTACATTGCATTTTTATGTATTCCTCATATTCACCTTAAGATCGCAAACATTTCAAACGCACCTCGTGCTATAGTGCAACAGGTAAGGACAAGCGAGCGCAATGCGTCAGCTGTGCGAATCACGAGAAATCGACAAATGTTGCTCATGTTGCCAAGCTGAAGGCAATCTATGGCAATTGCGCGGGCAGTTGTTGCAAACAATCATGACTTGGCCCAGCCAGCCCAGTGCTCAACTGCTCCAGCATCATCAACGAGAGCAGCGGCAAGCGCAGCAGCCGCAGCATCTGATGATGATGATAAATGTGTCGTTTGCTCTGTGGCAGTTCACATGAAAAACACATTACGCGCCAACGTTTCTTAATGCACAATAATGATGGAAAAATCATGACACAAGCCTCGCTCAATAATGTTGATAAATCAAAGCAAATAAATCTGTGCTCAATAGATATATACTATATATGTATTTGTATAGCTGAGAGCCAACAGGAACCACATTGACAGCCATATAAAGCGATTTGATGACTTCTATTCCGATAGGGCATACGCCGTTCGGCACGATTTGGTTGCCTGTTTTTGTATTTCTGTTGACATGGCCAGAACCGCAAAAGTTATGAACCTGCGCTGATCCGCTAGAAGCAGCAGTCCCATATGCCACATGCATGTGGCACGTAACTAAAAGAAATATAGACACATGCTTCTGCACATATGTGAAACAGCAACAAAAACAATGTTTAGCAACATGTTGCCAGCCGCCGCCGACACAGCAGACTTGTTGACGGCAGCTTTTGTCTTGGCTAGCTGATTATACCTGGCGCATATGATGAAGCGGGTAGATAGATTACGCTAACACATGTACATATATAAATTGAAAAAACAAATTCAAAATTTATATTTAGACGTTCCATATTTCAATTAAGCTGCATAGAAAATCACTTACATATTCCAGCAAGCTGGCTGCGCTAACAGCACAGACAAACAACATAACATACTTCTGTTAATATTAACAGAAGAACATTAAAGAGCTTACATGCGGTAAACTCTGTTAATTGTTGTTTGTATATCAATTATTGGTTTCAAAATTATTATTTGGTCGCAATATTTTTGGTATGCACCATATAATGGTATATCAGTCATTTTATATCAATACATTAAAATTCTACAATTACTTTTATACTTGATATTTTGACAGCCTGTGTTGAGGCCCTCTAGGGTATTTGCTAGTCGAGCAATAAATGACTGACAACTAGCCTAATGTATGTTGTTATTGTTGTCGTTGCTCCCCTTGTATAAGCCATTAAAATATATAGTTAGTGTTATTGCTGTCAATATGAGCTTGGCAGTGCATTGCAGAGGGAAGAAAAACAGCAACAGCCCCAACAACAACACATGTCAGCGAGCCTGTTAGGCTAGTTAATAATGTTGCTGCTGCTGCCTGATGCTTTGTTGCTGATGATGATATGGATGTAAGTAAGCATAATCACGATCTAATTTATTTACAAATTTTTGTGTTGAAATCAAACGTTCGAAGTCGTGTTTAAAAGGTTCTTTATGATTTATGCTAGCGTTGAAAAGCCAAAATGTGTATGAGTGTGTGTTTGTGTGTGTGTGTGCCAAAAGCTTCTCACAGTCTGGGATCAATTGATGGACATTGTGGCAGCACAGCCGTCCCCGTGGATGCTGTGATGAGCAATTGGCATCCAACTACACAAGGTCTGGATAGTTTAGATTTTTTTCTCCTCATTCAATTGATGGGCATTGTGCCCGAATGGCAGGCTAATCCTAATGTATCCAGGTTCTATTCAGCAATTGCTGTGAAACGTTAATTTAGATTTATGGCTCAAATCGCAACTAGCTTGATGTGTTGTGCAACAGGCAGGCAGCCAGCCAGCCAGCCAAGCAGCCAGGTAGGTAGGTTGGCCGTGCGAATGCTCCAACAGACGCAAATGGGCAGCTATTGCATGTGGCACATTTGTCATGCGGCAGATCGTGTGCTCCAGCTGCTGCCGCTGGATGCTGCCTGATGGGATTGCGACTACAAGACGCTGCGGCCAGGAAACACAAAACAAATGTTATTTACTGACTAGCAATAGACACACACTTTGATACCCTTACCATAAAAAATCATGAAAACTTCAAGGTCAAGGTCAATCTCCTCACTAGCATACAAATTTTTATATACATTTACATACACATACTTACATTTACATTTGGGTAAGCAAAGCGATGATAATGATAGAGAGCACCCATCTCACTTACGCGCCTTGAGCTAATGGCTTTCAGGATCCAAGCTCAACGAAAGTTGGAGAGAATAGCAAATACGAATTAGAGGTGAATTAGTTGAAAAAGCTATCTCCAGTTGTTCCATCTCTAGGTGCACTGTCTGCTATACTCTCATCTCTATGTGTTAGAGCAGCCAGCAAATGTGTTGATTAATTTTTTGATGTTGATTGCGAGGCGGCGGCAAATGTTGCATTTGCTGCAACTGCATGTCATGTCACAGCCAAATAAACATATCAACATGATAAATATGCGACCCATAAGCAACATCACTTATCGGACAGTGTCCGGGCTACACGCAAAGCGAAGGACAGGCGCATAAATCAGTTGCGTTCCTCTTTTTTAATCGCTGATTTCCGCTTCGCTGGAAATGAAAACAGAGCCAGAAACTGGTTTGCCATTTTCGAATGGGGACGAGCGCCCGAGCAGAAGCAGCAAGCAGAACTATATGGGACGGCCCTCGTACACTGCTCAAAACTGCGGCACAATGGTTGTTGTTATTGTTGATTACATTTTAAATGTTTACTAAATATTACATTGTTTATTAAAATACACACATTTCAATTAGCTTGGTTTTTGTTGTTTTTTTCTGGTTGTATTTATCGCAAACTCTGCACACTTGTTGCTCTGTTTGTTGTTGCTGTTGCTGTTGCTCTTGTTAAACAGTAAAACTTAATTTTACAAAACCTTAGCCTCGGAGAGATCATCCAAAGGCTTGCTGGGTGGCGGAATCTTGTATTCCGTCTCTGGGGTCTCGTAGATCTTCTCCTCCTTGGGCTCGACGACAGACACGTTGTCGGGCAGTGGCTTCTTGGGTCCAATCTTGTTCTTGGGATCGTAGGGCAACATGATCTTAACCTTGATGCCAAGCACGCCCTGGCGCAGCAGAACGTGACGTGTGGCAGTCTCGACATAGTCGTTGCATGGATCACCGGAGTGGATCATGAGTCCATCGACAAACTTCATCGACTTGGCACGCTGACCACGCAGCTTGCCAGAGACAACAACTTCACAGCCCTTGGCGCCGGACTCCATGATGAAGCGCAGCACACCATAGCAGGCACGACGCACAGCCAGACCTCCAGTCAGCTTGTAGCGCAGAGACTCAGCTTGAGCGATGGCGCAGAGACCGCGAGTGGCGACCTTCTCGGCGTACAGTTCGATGCGGCCGGTTTCGAAATTGAAACGCTTCTGAACCATGGCGGTGAGCTCACGAATGCGACGACCCTTCTCGCCCAGCACTTGTTGGGTCTTGGTGGCCATGATGATGATCTCAGTGCGGGATGGGGTCACACGCACCTCAACACCGGAGTAACCATCTTCAGCGAGCTCACGAGTCAGGAACTCGTTCAACTCAGCCTTGAAGATACCGTCGGAGACGAACTAAAATAAATCGAAAATTGCAAATTGTTAGGCGAACACACCAAATTTCAAAGTTATAACAAATATTATCATTGCTGGTCACTGTTGTTGTTGTTCACGCGAGTGTCATGCTGAACGGGGGCTCCACGCCTGCCGCTGACGCCCGCGATTTGAGGTTAACTTTGGGTTGGTTTTGTTTTTTGAGTTTCCCGCGTAGATTCTTCACATAACTTTATGCACCCAGCACGTGCACAGGGACAATACACTTCTCTGTTTGTATTGCAATGCAATTTTTGTTTAATTACCTTACGTTTCTTTGAAATGTTTAGGTTCATATTCATTTCATACGACTCGCACGGAACGTGGTCAAAAAGAAAGAAAGAAGGCACCCTGCTTTACCGATAACATGGCCGTCGTACGAACTGCTTTGCCACCTGTAGGGTTGCAAGTTGAATGCAGCGATTCTAATGATGTCAACTTATCGATATATTTAGTCTTAATTGTTTTTAATTTTACGTTTAAGAACGTTCTACCTTCCCTCAACACTACAAATTAATGTTTTTTTATTAAGAACTTCTTCAGAAAAACTTAATTAGCTCATTATCTTGAACAGCTGAGCTTCGTCAGTCGATAGTCATAAATCACCCCTGATGTTTCTGTCAGCTGTTCAAATGGGCATACACAAAACTATCGACACCTCCTCAGCTAATGCAGCTACAATCGATGCAAATATATATTGACTTATCAATAATTGCATCGATAATTTTACAGCTGTAGAACAAAGCAGCAACCAATTGCGTCTCATTATTGAAAACGAAAATAAATAACAAGTTCTGCAGAATTCAATCATCAATATGTCGGAAATAAAGGCGTTGGAGCACGCCACACTCAAAGTGCCGTACGAAATACTAAACAAACGCTTTCGATCTGCTCAAAAGATTATCGACCGTGAAGTTGACCAAGTAATGAATGTTTCGCGACAAGTGGAAAAGGCCTTGGACGCTGAGCAACCGCCCATATTGTCAGATGTGGCCAAGTTAATGGGCAATGTTGCACAAAAACTTCAAGTGCTTAAACGTAAAGCTGACGAGAGTATCAATGACGAATTGAGCGTCACGCAAATATGCAAACGCAAGCTCCATCATCTCAAGGGCATCATGCCTCGCTGCAAGGGAGACATGTTTCTTAGTTCTGTTGATCAGTGGAAACGTATCCGTATCGATCGCCTGGTTATCGAACACCTGTTGCGCATGGGCTACTACCAGACAGCCGAAGAGCTGGCGACACGCACTGAGGTGCGTCATTTGACTAACGTGGATATATTCCAAACGTCGCGTGAGGTGGAAGAAGATCTAGCAAATCATAGCACGACTAAATGCGTGCTCTGGTGCATTGACAACAAGTCAAAGCTACGGAAAATCAATTCCACCATTGAATTTAGCTTGCGTGTACAGGAGTTCGTTGAGCTTGTGCGTCAGAATCAGCGCTTGGAAGCAGTCAAGCATTCGCGTCGCTATTTTCCAGCCTACGAGAAGACCCAGTTGACTGAGATTTGTCATGTCATGGCACTGTTGGCCTATCCGACCGACTCGGAAATGGAGCACTGCAAGAAGTACATGGATCCCAAGCGCTGGGATCAGCTCGTGCTGGACTTCCGTCACGAGAACTACCGCCTGTTCCAGCTGTCCAATACATCAGTCTTCTCGGCAGCCATACAGGCCGGTCTCTCGGCGTTGAAGACGCCTCAATGCTACTCTCAGACCTGCCGCAATCTCAATTGTCCCGTCTGCCAGGACGATTTCCACCAGATTGCGCTCAAGTTGCCATACTCCCACTGCGTGCAGAGTCGTCTCATTTGTCGCGTCACCGGCTTGCCCCTGAACGAGCACAACCAGCCGATGATGCTGCCCAACGGCCAGATCTACGGCCGGCTCGCTTTGCCGAAGATAACCAATGAGGATGGCACCGTCACCTGCCCGGTGACGAAAGTTAAGTTTACAAAACCTAAGATCGACAAGGTATTTATCATGTAAGGCGCACGAGGCAGTCTAAAGAGTGTCAGACTTTGTTAAACTTTAACCCCCTATATATATACTATCAATATCATTAAGCCAGAATCAACTATATATATATATATATTTTGTATAACTATATTTCTATTATGTATGTATCTAAAGTGGCGCCCAAAGTTTTCCAACAACTGCGCATTTGAATTTCGATTACGATTAGTTAGTTCTTCATCTTCAACCAGATTTGATTCTCGTCGCTGCGCCGTCGCAGCTCTATTGATTTTTCCGGCAGCGCAGTCAACAGCAGCAGCGGCAGCAGCAGAGATAGAGGCAGAGGCCGTATGTCGATGTTGATTCATGCTGTGCGGAGCGAACGAGCAGCGTTATTTAATTTCTTCCTAAGTGAAAACTATTCAAATATATCAATATAAATAAAGAAAAATTCATATAAATAAGCAAAACGTCAAGCGTTTCCAATTCTTTCGGGTTTCCCATTTCATTTGCACCTAAACACGAGAGTGAATTCTTATTGTTGTTGTTGTTTTTGTTCTCATGATTGTGATTGTGGCAGCTCAGCTGCGAAAATGCATAGGAAACTGTGAAAATTGACAAATGCCAATAATTAATTCAACAGCAGCAGAGGCAGCAGCATCTATGTAGGTAAACAGCTGCGTTTGCTCCACAAACARCAACAACAACAAACAGATACATAAACAGTAAACTAGATACGACGTTCAACCCCCACGGCCAAACCCACCACCGCCATTTCCACCCCAACTCATACCACCACTACCACTACTTTTAATAAAAGGGCAACAACGACAACAACAACGGCAACAGAGGCTCATCTGTAACTGTAAACCCGCTCGCAAGTATTTCGCAATATGGCTTTGGATTTTGTGGCCACCTACAAGGTGTTGGTGCTCGGTGACTCCAACGTGGGCAAGACGTGCATCGTGCACAGGTACTGCGATGAGAAGTACTACGACACATACATCTCCACAATCGGTGAGTGTTGCCACAGATGTACACACACACACACACACACACAGTTGTATGCACTCTTTTGTCTGGCTTCAATGACAACAACAACAACATCAACAATGCAAACATCCTTTATCTCTGCCCAGGCATTGACTTCAAACAGAAACTCATCAATCTGGACGGTGTGCCCATAAAGCTGCAAATCTGGGACACAGCCGGACAGGAGCGCTTTCGCACATTAACCACGGCCTACTATCGCGGCGCCATGGGCATTCTGCTGATGTACGATGTCACCAACCTGGAGAGCTACAACAATTTGTCCTACTGGTTGCGCAACATACAGGAGAACGCCTCGCCAGACGTGGTCAAGGTGCTCGCTGGCAACAAATGCGAATGCTCAACGACACAGCGCATGGTGGACAAGGACAGAGGCGAAAAGGTAAGCGAGACGTTGGACAACTGTGTGGTGGCATGAGAGAGGGAATGTATTGCCTGTATTTTTAGATAAATAATTGACATATAAGTCGAGAGGCAATGCCAGCTGCCAATCTGATATGCATAATTAAAGAAAAGTTTTTGTTTATGATATATGTATATAAATCAGATTCAAATGTGGGGGTGTATGGGAATTTGTATGAAGTGAGGGTGAGAGGCAGACATCCCAAAGATAGCTACTCGTAAAAGTGCAGCATGTCACAAATCAGAAAAACGATTGAGTTCGCATACCGACGTATATAATATAGCATATACTATAGGAATAAGCAGCATAAGCAGTCACGGATAAATTTGATCATATATAAATATGTCTGATGTGTTAAGAAAACAATAAAATATCCTAGAAATGATATATGACATACTTATATTGATAGCTATCATATATCAACTGTGTGATATCATGGTTTCTTATGAAAACCATGAAGTGATAAGAAAACCCGATATTCCAGAGCTTATATATGATAGATATAGATATGTATATGTATATGTTCATAAGTACATAAGTAGTATCACTTGATTTGAAGTGACACTAAACTATCTTAAATATATTTATAATTCATAAATAATAATCTTGAATGCATATACAGTCGACGCTTGATATTTCAAACCTGCGTTATTTTGAACCTCTCATTAATTCAAAGTTATCACTCAGTAATTCGAACTAAAAGTCATTGCTAAGACGCGGTAATTCGTACTCATATGGTTAAACACTCGACGGTTCGAAATATTTTAAGAGTCCCTTGAATTTCGAAATAACGAGAATCGACGGTATATCATCTCCTTTTTATTTTTCCCAATAACTAATTCGATTCTTTCCTTTGCAGATTGCCGAAAACTTTGACATGCCATTTTTCGAGGTCTCTTGCAAATCGAATATCAACATTGAGGAAGCATTTCTATCACTGGCTCGCAAGATACGCGAGCAGCGCGAGAGACGAGTAAGTGCCCGAATATCCCACGCTTGAAACTGAACTAAAGCATGCTTAATCCTTGCAGGGCGACAATTTCGACAATGATGATAAACAGGACAAGAAGTCGCCCGGCTCGAATGGCCTGGGCACCTTCAGTCTGGGCAGCTTGTCGGGCGAGAATCGCTGCACCTGCTAAGCTCCCTGTAGGAGCGCTGGGACACCCTGAGCCGCTGCAGCCTGTTGTCCACAAGTTGTCCACAATTTAGCCACTGTACAGCGCCAGCAGCAGCAACAATTTATGTAGCCAAGTTTGTGCAAGTTATTAACAATAACGCTAAAAATTATAAACAATTCAAGTAAAATTCATTTGAAATGCATGAGGAGAGTCTAGTCGAGTCGAGTCGAGTCGAGTGGCAGCCTATGTAAAACGTACAGATTGTGCATTTTTTAAGATAGTCCAAGAATAGCATAATAATTATATTGATAATAATGATTTTTAGCATATTCGTGCAAATACATCAACATTTTTACATTAACTAACTCGTGTACTCGTTAAGCTAAATAAGTCGAAATATATAAATATATATTGTATAAATCTATGCGAATACAAAATCTGAATGTAAGCCTGTAACGATTCGTTACAGCTTTTAAAGTGAAACACAAAACTTAGTGAGGTCTCTATGTGGACCGGTTTTGCTTGGATCTGATCAATTATACATGCATAATACAAAAAACAAAACAAAAATCTCGATTGCTCTATTCTCATTCCCATAGGTCAATTAGGGGCTTAAGTGGTTTCATTTCCGGTATCTATTCTATCTAGCCGCGGCGCCTAGCAACCGAAAAATGTCCACAACGATGATGGTGACGTATCCTTTGAGGAGCCCTCAATAGATACGATGAGTCAGTTCGATTTTCGTGCTTGCCATGAAAGGGTTCCGGAACAAGGCCAGCTCGCTGCCCATATTCAATGGAAGGATAACGGATGCCACCACATTGACGACCACATCGCTGCAGCCGGTGGCCAGTCGCAAGCTCTCCTCGCGCGGCCCCGCCTCAGTTTTTACCATAACCGACGGCCACATTGGCCACGCGCCCAGCACTTCGCTGGCCGAGGCGATGGCCATGCAGCCATTGCCACCGGCGTTGGTCAAGGAGGAGGAGCAGCAGCTGAACATTGCCGGCGCCGAGCTGGCCAACTATGAGAAGGTGCGCGTGGTGGGTCAGGGCTCCTTCGGCATAGCCATACTGTACAGGCGCAAAGTCGATGGCCACCACATTGTCTTCAAGCAAATCAATCTGAGCGAGCTGTCGCCGCCGGGCCGGGATTTGGCCATGAACGAGGTGGAGGTCTTCTCCAAGCTGCATCACCCGAACATTGTCAGCTATCTGGGCAGCTTCATCAAGGACAATACGCTGCTCATCGAGATGGAGTACGCGGACGGCGGCACCCTGGCCCAGATCATAGCCGAGCGACAGGGCAAACAGCATTTTCCCGAACGCTACATCATCGCCGTCTTTGAGCAGATCTCCAGCGCCATCAACTATATGCACTCGGAGAACATCCTACATCGGTACTGAGTTAAGTTATTTAGAGGTATACCTATATATAGGGGCATTCATTCATTCATTCACAGCGATCTGAAGACGGCCAATGTGTTCCTCAACAGGCGAGGGATCGTTAAGATTGGCGACTTTGGCATATCGAAGATCATGAATGCCAAGATCCATGCCCAGACTGTGCTGGGCACGCCCTACTACTTCAGTCCGGAGATGGTGAGCGGGCTTAGTCTGCCTAGATGTAGTTAGTTTCAAGTCCACAAATCTCCGCAGTGCGAGGGCAAGGAATACGACAACAAGAGCGACATCTGGGCCTTGGGCTGCATTCTGGGCGAGCTGTGCTGCCTGAAGAAGACCTTTGCTGCCTCCAATCTGTCCGAGCTGGTCACCAAGATTATGGCCGGCTCGTATACCCCAGTGCCGCTGGGCTATACGTCGGGTCTGCGCAGTCTGATGGCCAATCTGCTGCAGGTGGATGCAGCACGTCGACCCACTGCGTCCGAGGTGCTCGTCTACTGGATACCACTCATCTTTCGCAGTCTGGGCAAGAACAAAGGGTGAGTTGTCAGGCTGTGGCTAGACATCGGCTGTATCCCAATGCAAATCCTGCTATAGCTACACCTATGAGGACAACCTGAGCAGCAATGGCACCTTGCTGGCTGCTCCAACTTCTCTGTTTGCCAGCTGCAGCAATCTGGCCATGGAACTGCCGACGGCGCAGACCCAAACGCGGAAGCTGATGAGCGCCGAGACAGTGGCACCGCATGAGGTGATCGAGAGACGGTAAGTTAAGGGATCTTTAGGAATCCTAAAAATATATACATATTTCCAGCTCTGTGCTGTATCAGCTGAAGGCGTTTGGCAACAGCTTCAGCATGAGTCCCATCCAGCTGCCGCCGAAGGCCTTGATTGTCTGCGTGGCCATGAGCGAAACCCACTTTGTGGTCATCAATGATGATGGTTCGGCCTACGCCTGGGGCGAGGGCACACACGGCCAGCTGGGCCTGAGCTCGCTGGAGACCTGGAAACATTATCCCGGGCTGGTGCAGAGCGTGCGCAATTATCATTTGGTCAGCGCCTGTGCCGGCGATGGCTTCACCATATTCCTCACCCAATCCGGCAATCTGCTGAGCTGTGGCAACAATGCGAAATTCGCTCTAGGCCAGGAGGAACAGAAGGATTACTTTACGCCCAAGCTGATAGCCAAGCTGGCGGATGTGCGCATCGAGCAGATTGCAGCTGGCTTGCATCACGTCCTGGCGCTGAGTCGCGAGGGCGCCGTTTACGTTTGGGGCACCAGCGTGTCGGGCGCCCTGGCTCTAGGCAATTACCAGCAGCAGCAGTGAGTGGGAAATGCGAATCGAATATCAATCAATTTCAGCCTTTAACTTGTCCTAATCCTGCACAGAAAACATCCACAGAAGGTATTGTTGTCGCATGTCAAGAGCAAAGTCTCGAAGATCTACTGCGGCCCGGACACATCCGCTGTGCTCTTCACCAACGGAGAGCTGCACGTCTGTGGCAGCAACAACTACAACAAGCTGGGCTTCAATCGCCCAGGCCGGATCACAGCATTTGTATGCCATGACTTGTCATGTAAGCCGCCTTCCATCGCTATCTCAATTATATCTCCTTCTAGAAAAAGCTACAGCTGCCCTATAAGGTGCTCCACGCTTGCTTCTCGTCCACCCACTCGGTGTTCCTGGTCGAGGGCGGCTATGTCTATACGATGGGACGCAACAAGGAGGGGCAGCGAGGCATCCGGCACTGCAATGCCGTGGAGCACCCCACCCTGGTCGACAGCATACGCGCACGCTACATTGTGGTTGGCCATGAATGCAGCGCGTCGTCCGTTTGCCTGATCCTAATAACTTTCCTTATCTGCAGAAGGCCAATTGCAATGATCAGTGCACGATTGTTGCCTCCGAGGACAACATCATAACAGTGTGGGGCACGCGGAACGGCCTGCCAGAGATTGGCTCCAGCAGCAGCGGACTGGGCCTGGAGGTCTGCACGCCGAATACCGACCTGGAGTTGGGCAACAACACAGCCGCCTTTACCAATTTCCTGGCTTCGGTCTACAAGTCGGAACTAATCATGGAGCCAGTGGATATATTGGCGTAAGATGAGAAAGTATGAGTTGCCTATTTCCTATAAAACTTTGCGTCTGCAGCTTATACTCATCCAAGGAGCAATGCGAGCGTGGCTACTACGTCCAGGTGAACGATGTGTTTCCACTAGCTCACAGCGTCCTGGTCATGGTCGAGACAACAACGCCTCTGATATCCTCCTTTGAGGGCTAATCAATCGACCCACAATATTATATACAATTATCTCGCATTGTTCTTTATAGTTCATAAACATTTGAAATCAAATTTCGTGTGATTTACTGATAATAGCCACGTTTGGCTGCCTCCTCCACGATGGTCTGCACCGCTGCGAATGCCTCGCGAGCCGTCGGCTCGATCTCTTTGGCGGACAGGATGAACATCTCCTGGCTGTCTGGCGGGCCGCGCAGCTCGAACGTGAAGGTGATTGGCACCTTCAGCTGACTGTGAGCCCAATCCTTGGAGCCACCACTAGATGGATAGATAGTCTCATAGATACTTCCACTCTTGTAAACGCGTCCCGTCAGCTCCTTGATGCGCGCCGCAGCCAGTCGGCCAATCTCCTTCAGATCCGCATAGTTCTCCACACGCTCGGCCGTGTGGCCGTATGGGAACATGATCAGCTGCGAGTAGCTGTGCAGCGATAGATAGGTGCGAATACGCTCGGACTCGACGTGGGTTTCCAGAAACTGCATGATGCGCTGCGTTTCCACCTCGCTGGCGGCAGCTGGGCCAGAGAAATCATATTTACAGGGATTGCCGCTGGCGCCTGTGGTGTTCCAGCTCAGTGGGAAATTGCGATTCAGATCGACGCCACGGCAAATGCCAAAGATCTGACGATTCTTGCGCCACATACGGTCCCCAGTGAAGCTATAGCGATAGCCATCGGGATTCACCGAAGGAAAGATAAACCAGTTCTGGGAGCGAGCCAGAGCTCGAACGGCCGAATCCTTGGAGTGAAGCAGCTGATCAATAAAATAAGTGGCAGTGGCTGGAGCGATCCACTCGCGTGCATGGATGCCGCTTTCGATGAACACACTGGTCAGATTCTCTCCTCCAAAGGCCAGTTTCACTCCCTTGATGGGCAAGCCCTGAGTACTCAAGCCGATGTCCAGCACTTTGACTACTTCTGGGTGATCCCGCTCTAGCTTCTCCAGCCAGCCGTAGATGTTGTCCAGCTGAAAGTAACGCTTCCAATCGAACTCTTCTGCCGGCGTGTTCTCTGGCGCCACCTCTAGATAGTTGGCATCGATGAGCTCCTGGAAGTTGTAGTTCAATATGCGATGGCTAATGTTGTACGTGTGCAGCAGATCATCGAAGTCGGCCACCTTGTGGCCCGTCACCATAATTGTCAGTTTCTGGCCGGGCATGCGCGCATGGCCCATGAAGCCGCACGAGTCGCTAGCCTCTTCCAGCGCCTGCATGATGCCCACTTGAGTGGCGGTCGCCAGCTCCACACTGTAGATACGTGTGTGATCGTAACGGGCCTGGGCAGCCGGTGCCTGAGAGATAGCGTCCAAGGCGCATTGATCAGCCTTCGTGCAGAAGCTGGCAGCCCCAACGAAAGGGCGGAAGACCACGCCGAAGAGCAGCAGCGGGAGCGGGAGCGATAGCATGTTCAGTCTGAAAAAGCGAAAACTATATTAATCTGAGATTGCCAGCAACGCCTATCAAATATCACCTTCGAGAGCAGCTTTGATTATGTATATATGCATGTATGTATGAATGTGTGTATGTTTGTATGCATGTACATATGTATGCACGCATAAGCAAAGCGAAAGAATAACAAAGAATATAGAGCAGAAAGTCGTACAAGGCAATACTCTTTATTGACGTTTGAATGCGATCACATAACTGGCGAATTGTAAATAAATATTTGGAAGCCAATAAATAAACAAAGCATACTTGTAATCGTAGATGCCATATATTACTGATGTAAACACTATTTTCATATAAGTGTAGATCACAAGTGTAAATAATAATGTTTAAATTGATACCTTCTATAGAATTGTAATGTATGAGGTCGCGCCAATTTCATAAACAAAAGTAATTATCGAACAAGCTACTATCGATTCATCTGAATCTGAATTTGAATTTGTACAGGCGTCCTGTTTGACGAGCCTGTTTGTTCAATTCGACGTCAAATACGGCTTATTAAATCAGGAGTCTAAGCATTTTAGATGTCCCCAGCAAGAACGAAGAGCTTCCCACAACAAAATAAATTAAAATAAATATATTTGTTGTATATTTTGAAACGTTATCCACTGAAATTGATATTATCGACAAAACTGTTTTGTTTTCAAATATATCGGCTTTTCGATATAATATTTAACGCTGGTCACCCTATCAGCTGTTTTTATTTATAATAATAAACACCAATGGAATCTCAATTTGATAACACAGAGTGAGTACACTTAAGTTATTGCAATAAAGTAGCTAAATTTCAGATTATTAACAGCGAAAACTATTGGAATCGCTCCTCGAGAGCTGCCTTTAGCTTTGATGATGAAGAGGACGTTGATCTTGGTGATGTGGGCGGCAGAACAAAAATGGGACAGGGCAGCCAGAGCAGCAAATGGGATAATGCAATTTTTAATGACGACACCATCTCTGAGGCCAGCTTTGATAATAGCGCCGCACTGGGCACGCTGAATCATCTGTCAATCAAAGCGATACTGAGCGATGAAGCGCTTAAGCTGGTGCTACAGGAACAGGCAGTGGACGATCAAGTTATGCCCAAGGGTGTGACGCCTGAGGAGGAGCTGAAGTTGCTGCGCCGTCAAATACAGAGCACTCTGTACAGCCCCAATCTGGAGCTGACCGCACAGAAGTTGCTGCATGGCAAAGTGGCGCCGTTGGAAATGTTCAAATCACTGCTAGAGAAGCGTCAGCTGTTGGATGCGGTGTTGGCCAACGGCGGTGATGCGATCATTGGAGTACTATTGTTCCTCAAACGAACCCTGAACGCCACCCAGTTCCATGGCATTCTGCAGCAGCGGCCCAAGGCGCTGGAGCACTATCTCAGCTATCTGCGTCAATGTGGCGACGTGAGCAACTATATTGACACGCTGCAGCGCTTCGGGCGTCATCAGGAAGCTGCTCTTAGGCAATTTCAGGCGGCCCTGTCCTGCACTGAATTGGCTACGCGTAAACAACAGCTGCAACGACTCATCGATGCCTATGCGAGCGCAGGAGTGGGCATAATACCGTTATATGAGCAGGTCTTTCATTCCGCACTGAAGCTCCAGCTGGTCCTGGAGAAGGAGCCCCTAGGTGATCTGAGCCAACGGATCGGTGACGACCCCACCCCCATAGAGGTACTCTACGCGTGCTGTGCCCAAAACAAGAATTGGAAAGAACAGGACATGCTAAAGATCAGCTCACCCCAGCGCTTTGCCGCCGATCAGGAAATCTCGCCTGCCCAATACGAATGGACGGCCTTAAATGAACGTGCCCAGTCACAGGCCTACGCGGATCTGGAGTGCATCTTTGAGCGTGTGTCCGGCTGGCATCCGCTCAAATCGAAGCAGTTCCACATCAGTTTCGATCTGACCCTAGCCGTGCAGCGTCTCTTTGAGCTGCAGGCACCCGCCACAGTGCTGCAGCTCTTCCTGTCTAAGATGAGCAACAGTCCCGAGAAGCTGGTGCTGGCACAACGAGTCAAATGCATCAAGGCCGTCATTGATGCCATGGTCAGTATGAAGCAGCAACAGGAACTGCAGCAATTGAAGCAAACGCTGCCCGATCGCTCCGAGGAGCAGTTCTACTGCGAGAATGCGCTCAAAGCCCTGCAAAGCAAACGCTGGACCACGGACAACATAAAACTGAAGCTGTAGCGAGCCATCATCAACTGACTTTGTATAAATGTAGTTTTTATTACTTTTATCATATTTGTAATTTATTAAAAATGTTACTTTATATATGTATTAAATAATTTGCAAATCACAAGCTGAATATCAATCAATTAAAAGTGTGTGTCTGTGTGTGTGTGTGTGTTCTGTCCTTTAAACATTTTGTTATCGTTTTTCTTTTTTTATTGAGTAAACAAAAAGCGCGTTAAACCAATTCGCAAACAAAGCACTACAAAAAATAAAATTCTTTAAACAATTTGTTTGCCTTAAATATTTGACTTAAACAACATCGCTGTAAAAGCTATTTATATAAATATGCGCAGCAAAACCGCAAACAACAATTATTTTTAATTAAGTATAAATATGTGTATGTATGTGTGTGTGTGTGTGTGTGTGTGTAGGTGTGGGGGCGGGTAATAGGCAATAATATATAATATTCACTTATGTGTGTGTGTGTGTGTATGTGTGGTGTGTGGTATCTGGGCGGGCACAGCTAAAGACGCCATTATTGATCTTTGGTTTCCTGCTCGAATTGACAACAAATCGTAAAACTTTAAAATTATAACCAAATAAGTAATTAAATACAAAATAATATATATATAGAAATATACACATGATAAACTTTCAACTTAGGCAAAGTTGAATGTGGGGAGGAAAACAAAGAGTTAACAAAATTCAAAGCAAGAACCGCGATTCCCTCGAGCGTCGCCAGTGACCACATAGCCAAAGCCACTGCTAATTGCTGCCTCCGCTCGCATCCTGATCACAGTAGCTGAGCAGACGCTGGCACAGAGTCGTCTTGAACTTGACCGTAAAACTATCGAAAATGGCATCCGTATCCTGCAGCACACTCGACGACGTCGCTTGATTGCTATCCGATGCCGCAATCAGCGACTTGAACTTCTGATTGAGATTCTGCTCGAGCGCCGAGTTGTTGTTGTTAAAGTAGAATACGTAGGCCAGCTCCAGCAAATAGTAGTCCAGATCGGCCATGAAGTAGCGCTCGCACTCGAGCATATCGAACTTCTGCTCCAGAAAGTGCACACACATATGATAGATAAGGTGCTTGAGATCGGATCGATGCAGGGGCACATAGCCCGTGTCCTTGCTGAAGTACTCAAATAGCTTGAGAGTGCGCTGCGAGCTGTCGCAGCTCTGCAGGCAGAGCTGAAAGGCCTCCACGAATCGAAAGTTGAGCATACAGATCCTAATGCGATATTCGTTGCGCAGCGGACGTGAAAATTCGGCTATTTTGTCCGGGTTGTATAGCCCGTGGAAGGCATACAGGCAGTAGTGTATATAATGGCGCAGAGCTTGCAATACGTTCGCATCGCCGGCGTCTGAGCTGGGCGTACAGGTGCTGGCATCATCCCGATCACCGAGCAGTGGAGCTGCATTGTCGGCCATTACCGGCGCCTCCTGGTTGGGCAAGGGCAAATAGCTTTGCTCCTCCGGCGAGTAGTCCAGCTCCAGCGAGCTGTTGCCATCGATTATCTGCTGTGCATTGTATGAGTAGCTAGCATCGTTGTGGCTCAGATTCTCCAGGCTGCTCAGCAGGTCATCCGAGTCTTGGCCAGTGACCGCCTGTTCTGTGCTGGACTTGTAGTTGAGCGTTTCGGGTGAGTAGCGATGCTCAAAGCTGATATTCGCCTGCTGCAAAAAGTGCGGCTGATATGGCGGAATCACCTTCAAGTAGCGCACTGGCTCCTGGTCCAAACGGATGCGAGGACGAGGCAAATTAATCTCCACCGGCACATCAATGCATTGGGTCTCGAAACGCATTAGCCGTTTGGTGGTGGGCAGGCACACGACCCGCTGTCGCATGCGATCCAAGCTGGCGCCCAAGTCGCGCCCGCACTGACCATTCGAGTTACCACCAAAGGCCTTCACAATGTGATCGGTGGTCATGACTAGGGTGAAATCAGCGCCGCAATCCACATACATTGGCCTCTCGATGCTGTCGATGGGCGATGGTTTGAGGACGGCTCGCCGATCTTTGTCCTCGGTGCCGAGCTGATGCTCCAGATTCTTCCCCCACGTGTAAAGCGTGCACGAAGACGATATCAATGCAAAGTGAAACAAGCCGCTGGAGATCTTTCAGCAGCAAGAGAAACACTTATTAATATTAACAATTATCAGAAGCACGCTCAGGAATCTACCTGTAATATTTTCCCAGCTACCTCGCTGGTATCAACTAGATGTGGCTTCAAGTGCTCCGTCGGATCTATCTCGGGAAAGACGGGTTGCGCATTTACGTTGGCAGATGCTGCCGGCATTGGCTCTGCAATATTATTGATCACTGAGATATTTTCCGTATCATCAGATGGCAAAGCCTCATCCTGGGCGGACTCTTTGGTTTCTTCACTGGACTTGGGTATGGCGCCTGCCACAACAGCTGCATACGATGTGCTCGGCTCCACCAACACGCTGTTGTTGCTAGGCGCTGGCAGCAGCGTCTCCTCCAGTCGCTTACTCAGCAGCTCACGCTGTTGATTCTCCTCCAGCTTCTGCTTGGCATTGGCGCGACGCCTTATTTGATTGGCCAACCGCAATGCCTGGGGTGAACTGCCCCAGGTATACATGCGTTCCTGTTCATCTACAGCTAGCTAAACAAACAAATATGTGTGAATTAGGATTTCACTTGTTTGATTTTCGTTTGCTCACATTTGTAAAAAATTTCGTATGTATCAGTCTTAAGCCGCAGTCGTTGCCGAGTTCCAAGCGCAATGGCACACTCGTCTTGGTGTCCTGATTCTGGTCGGCATTGCCAGTGCCCAGCTGCCCAAAATGATTGGAGCCAAACACATAGAGCTCGTTGCCACTGCTATTAGCCTCTGTACAGTTGTTTGGGGATGCTTGGCAGAGCACCAAACTGTGCGCATGCCCCAGAGAAATTTGTAGTATTTTCTATGACAAGCGAATGGAATTACGTTAGATAATGATATATAAAGAACATAAATATGATGCGCACCTTGTACTTAAAGAAACTGACTAGTGTGGGCGTTGGCACGTTCTCACAGCTGCCGTTGCCCAGTTGGCCGTAGATGCCCCAGCTAAGAGAATTCCAATTAGTTTAGTTTGTCAACTTATGCTTAGATGGGATTATATACGATACGCACCCCCACATATAGAGCTTGCCATCAGCAACGGCTGCATTATGATATTGACCCGCCTCCAGCATGGTGATATTCATGCCATCCAAGGCTGTTACCAACATAGGCTGCAAGGCCATTTGCATGTGCTGTCCTACGCCCAGTTGGCAGAGATTATTATTGCCAATGGCGTAGAGCTGTGGAAAGTGATATACTCTATTAGCAACTGGACATGATTGAGTGAGTGAGAGCCAAGGGAGCAAAACCTACTCCATTATTGGTGAGTATGAGTGTATGCTGGCGTCCACACTTGACCGCATGCACCTCCAAATCGAGTTGCGAGAGCAGCTCCAATGTCTTCACCGCATGTGCAGGTTCCGGTGGTTCTACACGAAATATGAACATATGTACATTTATATATATAATGAAAATATATAGAATATCCTACCTGTTGATTTCTGGGCGCTATAGCAGCAGGGCACGCCGCTCGAGCCCCAGAAATAGGCCACACCATCCACAACGCAGGCGCAATAGGCACAGCCAGCCGAGATGGGCTTGAAACGTGACGATTCGATGGCAAACTAATAACGTAAACAATTCATAGTTAGATTTACATGTTGTCTATTGCCTAATGGTCCGTCCCACTTGCCTGATTGTCCTCATAGCTGATGCGAAAGTTTGACAAAGCATTTACAATAGAGTCGTGCTTGACACGTTGCGCTTCCATATGTGTGAGCACAGCCAAATAGGTTTCGATTAGGCATTTGCTGAACTCAAATATGTGTTCATTATTGTCATTGTTGCTTGAGCTGCTGCTGTGCGAAACGATTGGACGCAGCGCGGGCGCAAAAGGATTTAGCTGCATGGCAAGACGCTGCAAACGGACAAACGGAAACTCACATTAGTAAGCATATCAAAAAGGATGTCAGTAACGAAGAGCTCACCTGCAATACACAGGGCCTAATATGCTCCAGCTTGTCCTGTATGAAGGTAAAGTAATCCATTGACACGTGCGGCAAGTATGTGATTGTCTCCATAAATATATTCTCGCTAAGGTTGTACAGGCAGACGTTGAGCTCGTTATACCAGCCAAACTCCTGGGCAACAACACTGACCAACGCATTGAAGGTGTCCAAGCAGACGCCGCGCACCTTTGCCAAAATAATCGCGGCCGAAAAGAGACCGCTCTGGCAGAGTACAATGCTGGTCATGTTGGTATGATACTTTGTGTTGGTGACCAAAAAGTTCCTAAAATAAATTTCACATTAATTAAATTGAAATATATATAAGACAACCTTCACCTACCACAAAGGTAGATAGTTCTTATCGTTGACTGCCTTCTCGGCCAGCGTGATCAACAGCAAATTGGCCAAATGAAACTGGGATGAGGGCGACATTTGTAATGCACTTATGGACTCATCAACACCATAATGATAATCGCTGCACGAAGCTCCAGTATTCTCCACAACGTTCTCATCTTTCACCTTCGCCTGCAAGATGTCGCGCACATCCTCCGAATGCCGATATGTGATATCCGATTGAATGTCCTTCAGCAACGGATGGGACAAGTAGGTCGATCGCAATATATAAGATGACTTCAGGGCCATGGCGCTCAACTGCATCAGCGCATACGTATGTCCATACATGGCCAGCTTGAGGGCCGTTCGTATGGGCTTAACGCGCGCCACATTGTACGTGATCAAGGCCTGGGTAACCTTTTTGCGACGCAACAAATAATCGCCGGCAAACTCAATGCAATGCTCGAAGGTTAGATCAAATGTGTTGCAAAACTCGCGGCACTGATTCCATTCGCTCATCAGCGCAGCATCCAAAAACAATTCAAATGGCTCCTTTCTGCAGGGATATGGAATATTTAACATATAAGCTGCATCTAGGCGTGTTTCTGTACTCACTTCAGCTGTATGGTATAGACATTCTTGTTGGTTATGACATAGCAAGGATCATAGTTGATCTTGGGGAACTCGGCCTGCATTATCTCCATTTGCCGCAACGAATATTCATTACTGCTATCCGCCGATTCATAGAACTGCACGTAGTCCATTGGGGTATGGATGTCCTTGATCTCGAATGCCTTTGCCTTCTCCTCCTTTGACAGAGATTCGGCATTGTTGTTGTTGCCACCCAGACTCCGAAATTGCGCCATTTGATAAAGCTGCAACACAGTCTCCTGCTCAAAGCGAAATAGCGCCAGCTGCGCCTGCTGATTGAAGCGCTGCGAGGATAAGTAAAGAGAATGAATTGATGTATATATATCGGGTACTATTTCAGCACACACTTACATCATCTTCGGCGGTGTGCAGCGAGGCCATTGCACTGCTGATCACGCTAACCGCATTGATGGCATTGGTGGGCATATCGCTTTGATCGATGCTCGATGCATTACTTGTGCTTGTCGCGCTTGTCTCGTCGCTCTTATTCGTCTGCTCCAGCTTCTCGGTGTCGGCATCTAGACTCTCCTTCTCGGTGTTCGCCATCAGCGGCTCTTCGAGCGATGATGCCGCCGTCGAAGCGCCCGATTCACTGCGCTGATGCAGATCCACATATTGTATGCCATACAGTATGTTCGAGCTAATCAGGATATCTACACAGTGCTGGGGTATCTTATATATGAACAGTGGCTTCAGGTTAATATCAATTCGATGCACCGTCAGGCTGCAGTTGGTGCTATGCAAGGCGCTTAACAGATAAGTGCTACGCAGATTCTGTATGTTATAAAACGAGCCGTTCGTATTCCCCAGAGGCTCCGGCGTAACCGATGGCGAGTCCATAATAGCAAATGTGCCCATGTTTGCCTCCGGCATGACTGCAATCAAATATAAATATATATTAACACACATATATATATAAGTTTACATATATACCAACTTACATTCATCTATTTTCTGCCGCTGATCGGATAATCGCATTTTGATGGCCTGCAATTTCTTGGACCCGAGACTTTTGAGCGAAGCCAGGCGTGCCCGGGTGGCTGGCAAAAAGCCATCGAAGCTATTCACGCCAATTTGTTGCTGTTGAAAACGAACGCTGGTGCTCTCAGCAAAGGATGGTGGCGGTGGTGGTGACGACGATGACGGCATTGCGGATTCTTCGTTGACCATCACCACATTGGACTCAACTACGCAGGTGGAAGGCGGAACTGTTTGTGAGCTTGGAGCAATCTCTTCGCTGGCGGGTGGGGCAAAAACATCCTCTTCTAATTGGCTGCTATCCGAGGCCGGATCAGAGCTGTTGCTTTGCCTGACATCATAGCTAGGTCCGCTTTGATTCTTTCCGTGCACAGACATCACAATCTGCCACGCACCCTCGCGAGTCGTCGGCGAACTATCACCAGGATAGACATACTTTATGGCCTTCTGCTCTAGCAGCAACTTGAACTGTGCCTTTACAGAGGATGTGATCTAGTCAAATGGAAAGATAAAGCAGAGTTTGTGAGCTTCCTTTCGTGAAACAGCGGTATTAGCTCACCAGCAGCATGACTCCATCGAAAGTGTTGTCTTTGCATATAGTCAAACGCACCACGGAACCAGTCTGAATGGCTGTACTGGCAATCATTGGGCAATTCGGACTGAGGCCCACGAAGCAAATCGAGCCATCCGAGTAGCCAATGATGGCTCGATTCAACCCATAATACGTTTTCCACCACACCACTGACAGCGGATACGGACATGTCTTGGATGCCATGAATGAGGTGGCCATAACCTGGCTATTGCCCGTTGCATCAAAAGGCGGAGCTTGTACTTGGACAGACTCTCCGGGCATATCCATGGAATCGGCATTTACTAACAAATGCTCTGGGAGCTCATGTCCCAAGGGCTCTTCATCGTCCACATTTTCAGCCTCTTTGTCCAGCTTAACGTGCTGCAATTGGTCAGCAACCTGATCCAAGTTCCATTGATGCTCCTGACTTTCACTCTGCGCCGTCGAATAATTGGGACATTTCTTCGAGTTGGGGCATTCGTGGGGGCCAACAAATGGTATTATATAGGACGTCACCTGTGTGGTGCTATACAGTGAACAGCTGGCCAAGTCGTGGGACTTATCGACCAGAGACAGGGCAGGAACAATATGCAGCGTATTGTCGAAACCTGTTGATAGATAGGGGGCAATGGGCATGGTTAGCGCTGGGTTCAGTAACACTTTAATAGACCTGTTTCCCCCTCGCGCTAGCGAAGCAGTCAATCAAAACAAAATGTGCTCAAGAAAATCAATAATGTAAATCGTACACACACACTCAAACACTCCCACCTACAGCATCAAAAGTAATTTTAGGCTTTACTATGTTGTAGCAGCCCCCAACCCTAGCACCCCTAGCACACACACACACCTGCCTCAGCTGCCCTTCGCAGTAGCGCACAACGACACACATACTTACAGAGAACGAGTAGCCAAATGCCAGCAGGATCGAAGCAGACATCGTGTATGACACGATTGGTGCGTCGGAACCAGGAGATCATCTTGAGCACCTCCTGGCCACCGCTGGCGCTGATATAACGAAGCACGATTTCATTTTCCTCGCTGACCAGGCACAGGAACTGCTTTTCATCGAACGGTGTGACTGTGACGGTGGAGAGCTTACAGCTGAAATTCGTAATAAGCGGACGAAGCTCAAAAATCTGCATATCCTTGAGCTCGGCATGCCCATGCACCGCCATCACTAAATCTTTTTTGTGTGGTCGCTGGCGGACCTGCTTCGAGCGTTTCTTCTTTTATATTTTTTTTGTTGTTGCACAAATCAAATTTTAGTTTTTTTTACTATTGCCATGTTTCCATAGCAAACATTTTATTATCGCATTTACAAGTTATCGAAGATATGCGATAAGCTATTTCCAGTGCACGCATCAAATTGAAGTGCATTTGAATATTTAGACATGTGTTAAATAAACACAAATATCTCATTTGTAATTGATTTCATTTGCTAGAAAACCAGAATGACTAGACTGCCGTTAATATCATACTAGACACAATTTTAAAATTTATATTGTTATCGATTTGTCATAATTTGTTTTTAGTCTTTTAAGCTTAAATCTACGCGTTTGTAGGTAAATAGCTACCTAATAGTTTAATTAATATGTTACATTATGCGTCTATTTGTTCTTAAGGTTCCTTTTTCTGAATAATTAATTCATTAATGAAGGGAATATCATGACTCAATAATTGCAAAAATTATCAAGTGCTGTAGGAAAAAGCCTACAAAATATAAAACCGCCTTCGAAAAAATCAAATCTAAAGCAGTGTTAGAAAACGCCAAATCGAGAAAAAACTAACTGGACACTGATTACTCGTGATACCAATATCGATACATTTATGCAACTCTACATCCAAAATTAACGGCGCGAATGTAAAATTGGCGTCGCTTGGATTTGCGGATCGCCGAATTGGAACTTTGAAAAACAATTTTCGTAAATAGAACAAAACTAGAATGGAATCACGTTTACCTAAGCCTACGGGTCTAAAGCGTCCCACGCCGTCAATCAAACCAATATTACCCACTGATCGTATAAAAGCGGCTACAAATGCGAATTTAACATACAATGGATCCACAACAATTCAACCGCTAACGAGAGACTTGCAAAACATCATACCGCAGGCATTGAAGCGACAAGGACAAGGAGGTAAGTTTGTATATTTTTGGTTTTAATTATTGCAATTATTTGCTTTTAAATCGTATTGACCACACAGTTCGAGCCGCCTCGCCCGATCCAATGAAATCCATGAGTGCGCCGAACCGGGCGAAATTGCGACGTAGTCGATCGGCTTGTGACATAAGCGAAATGCGGCAGAATCTCAAGCGAAACGGGATGCCCAATCTGGCAACTATACCAACAAAATGCCCTCGACGTGCAGTACCACCAACTACAACGACGAATCCGACCACTGCGGCTCGTACGGTTCGCGCCGGATCTGCGCCAGTCAAACGCCCCACAGCAGGGTCAGGGCCTCCACCGGCTAGCGTCTCAACGTCTCAGCGTCCATTGCCTCGCACAGGCACAGCAGCAGCGACAGCGACGACTAACAAAACGAAATCCTCTGCAAGCGCTGCTGGTGGCGCCGCAACTGCACCCAAGCGCATTGCTCCTTATGATTTTAAAGCGCGTTTTCACGACTTGTTGGAGAAACACAAGGCGCTCAAAACAAAATATGAGAAGCAAGTAGATGACATGGGCGAACTGGAATCGCTGCCCATACAACTGGAAGAGACACAAGCCAAGCTAATTGAAACGGAATCAACGCTTAAGCATGCGCAAACGGATAACGAGTGTCTGCAGCGTCAGGTGAAGCAGCAGACGGAGAAAATTGAGATGATAACCAGCGCATTGGGTGAAACACGACTGGAGTTGCAAGACCTTAAAGTCACGCATCAGGTAAGACAACAGAGCTAATGCATGGCAGAGCACGGGGTTACATATACTGAATTACAGGATATTAAGTCTGAGCACGAGTTCCTCTCCACTGAGGTTCAGCATCTGCGTAGGCGAAATGAGGAGCTCATACGAAGCAATGAACAGTTGCAGGCCGAACTGAATACGTGCAGGGAGCAGCTATTCCAGTCGAACATCGAGCGCAAGGAACTGCACAACGTCGTCATGGATTTGCGCGGCAATATAAGAGTCTTCTGCCGAGTGCGTCCGCCGCTAGAATCGGAAGCGGGACGTTTGATGTGCAATTGGATATACCATGACGAGGCGACAGTGGAGCTGCAGAGTTTAGATGCCCAGGCCAAGAGTAAGATGGGTCAACAGATATTCAATTTCGATCAGGTGTTTCATCCCAATTCGAATCAAATTCATATTTTCGAAATGGTTGCTCCACTGATTCAGTCAGCTCTTGACGGCTATAATATATGCATCTTTGCCTACGGCCAGACAGGCAGTGGAAAAACGTACACGATGGACGGCGTGCCAGACAATGTGGGAGTTATACCACGCACAGTCGATCTACTATTTGACTCCATTAGAAACTATCGTAACTTGGGCTGGGAATACGTTATAAAGGCGACATTTTTGGAAATCTATAATGAAGTGCTGTACGATCTGCTGAGCAACGATCAAAAGGAAATGGAAATCCGGATGGCCAAGAACTGCAACAAGAATGAAATCTATGTATCGAACATAACAGAGGAAACGGTGACAGATCCTAATCACTTGCGCCAGCTGATGGAGTTGGCCAAAATGAATCGTGCCACAGCATCCACAGTGGGTAATGAGCGTTCGTCGCGTTCCCATGCGGTCACCAAGCTGGAACTGATCGGCCATCATGCTGAGAAGCAGGAGACGTCTATAGGATCCATCAATTTAGTCGATTTGGCCGGCTCGGAGTCGCCAAAGACCAGCATTCGAATGACCGAAACCAAAAACATAAATCGCTCGCTCTCCGAACTGACGAATGTGATTTTGGCGCTGCTCCAAAAACAGGATCACATACCGTATCGCAACTCAAAGCTGACTCACTTGTTGATGCCGGCATTGGGTGGTAATTCCAAGACCCTCATGTTTATCAATGTCTCACCGTTCCAGGACTGCTTTCAGGAATCGGTCAAATCGCTTCGCTTCGCCGCCTCCGTCAACTCCTGCAAAGTGGCCAAGGCCAAGCGTAATCGGTTCGTTAACAATTCGAACAACAGCTCCATCAACAGCAGTTCCGAAAAGTAAACCTCTGTCGATTCACGTTCACGATTATAATAATTATCTGAATTGTCAGCTATTCATTTGTATATCTTGTACTTTTTTAATAATTGATAAAGCATAATCCAAATTTTTACTTCTCTCTCACTGTTATTACTTAATTTATAATTGTATGTGCTTAGTGCAAAAACAAAAACAAAAACAAGCAAAAATAAAGAAAATATATAACAGATTATGTTTGTTTCGTGCCTACGGCCTGTCGAACTTCTAGCGGGATCTTCTCCACCAGCTCTTGGTGATTGTTGCCCACGCTGGCGAGCACTCCCCGTCCATTGACATGCTCCACATTCTCATGGTATTCGTAGTGTTCGCCATTGATGTTGGTTAGGGTTCCACCACTAGCCTCCAGCACAGCTTCTGGTGCACAAGTGTCCCATTTCTTGCAACCGGGCGTGGCAAAGACATAAACGTGTGCCTTGCCCTCGAGCAGTTGCAACACCTTGAATCCAGCGCCGCCTACCTTGAGCACTTTGCTGGCATTGAACACATCCACTGCCTTTTGATGCAGTGCATTCGAGTGCGAGCGGGTGGTTGTGATAATGAATTCATTGGCCGGCGGTTTGACAGCCGTAAATCCGCCAGTGCCCAAGCCTTTGAGACCCCAAATGGTACGTCCCAGCTCGCCGCTGGATTGTTGATAAAATGGCTGGTGAATAATGCCACCCACAGCTGAGTTCTTTACGGCTATGCCAATGAGCACCGTCACATGCTCCACAAATCCTATAAGATAATCTGGTTTTAGATAGAACTTTGTTACACAGATCGAGTGTATACCTTGTGTATATTCTGCAGTGCCATCTAAGGGATCAACCCATATGACAAAGTCCTCCGGTTTTGCATCCTTCCAATCCGCCGGGCAGTCTTGCTTAAGGAATGTTTCATCCAGTTCGCCCACCAACCATTCATCGCATACATTCAAATCGGATCCACCCTCCTCACCAATTATCTTAATGCTGGGAAATTTCTTTGCCAAAGATGCAATAATGCATCGTTGCGCCGAACGGTCGGCTTCTGTTTGTGGATCATTTTTGCCCTTATCCACGATGCCGAGGTCTCCCTGCTTGAGGACATCGCGTATGATGACGCCAGCCCGTTTGGCCGTGTTAATGGACAATGCCATTATTCGCATAATAAGTGGAGCGTTCGTGGTCATCTTTTTAAGTCTTGAATTGTTCTGTATGTGGAATGATAATTCCTTCGGAATACTCTGTGCTTCACACTTTCACTTTAATTTATGCAAAAAAAAAAAAAATCGGCCAAACAGTTGTAATCTGCGCGCTCAAGCAGGGTACGCAACGCATAAGCCATGCAAAAATCAACGTGCAAAATATTATTTTATGCTACGAGGTATATTTTATATTGCATGGGTGAAATATTTTTAATTTTTATTTATTTTTTTCTATATATTTATATAACAGATATAATTTTTAGTCTAATTAACTGACCCCCGTGGCCAGTATACCATCTTTAATGATCAGCTTGTTGTTCAACAGTGTGGCCACGCCATTCTGGGAGTGGCAACGCTGCGGCAAATACAACCTTTGGACCCCCAACCACCCCCTCTCATTTTCAACAATATCTGCTGTTGCTCGGAAGGTAAATTAACATAGAGCACGATTAATAAAATTATATTATGTATATATAATTATTGATTTCTAATTTCTTAGAAAATGGCTCGTGTTTTGGTTGGTGTAAAGCGTGTGATCGACTATGCCGTTAAGGTAAGTAAATTTAGTATGATTCTTCTTCTTATCACTTGTTGCGCTTCGTTTTGCGTAATCGTTTTTATTATTCTTAATTAAATATCTTCCGATTGGAACTTGTGTAGGTGCGCGTGAAGCCGGAGAAAAATGGCGTTGTTACTCAAGGTGTTAAGCACTCCATGAATCCCTTCGACGAGATCGCCGTCGAGGAGGCCGTCAAGATGAAGGAGAAGAAGTTGGCCTCTGAGGTGATTGCTGTCTCTGTGGGTCCCACGCAATCGCAAGAGGTCATCCGCACTGCCTTGGCCATGGGCGCAGATCGTGGCGTGCACGTTGAGGTGCCAGCCGCCGAATACGATCTGTTGCAGCCGATTCATGTGTCCAAAATACTTGCCAAGCTGGCACTGGACGAGAAGGCCGACTTGGTTATATTGGGCAAGCAGGCAATTGATGATGATGCCAATCAGACGGCACAGATGACTGCCGCCGTGTTGGACTGGCCCCAGGGCACATTCTGCAACAAGGTGGAGAAGACGGATGCAGGCCTGACGATCGCCCGTGAAATCGACGGCGGCCTGGAGACCATCAAGACCAAACTGCCAGCGGTGCTGAGCGCGGATTTGCGCTTGAATACGCCACGTTATGCCACGTTACCTAACATCATGAAGGCCAAGAAGAAGCCACTGAAGAAGGTGACGCCCAAAGATCTAGGCGTTGATACTACGCCACGCATTGAGATCATATCTGTTGAGGATCCACCAGTGCGCCAAGCGGGCGCCGTCGTTGCCGACGTGGATGCTCTGGTGGCCAAGCTGAAGGCTGGCGGTCACATCTAAGCGAGCAACCTATCAAAATTGTGAGCTAAATTCTACGTTCTTTTTGATTTTGAATTTAAATTACCTTCTATCAGAAACGTGCATTTATCTAGCCTATAACGATTGATGTGCCGATTGAGAGAGCCAACTGTCCCCATAGTGCTTTAAGTCAAATTCAATGTTTTTTATTTTTGGAATCTGTCGTGTCAAGCCTTAACGAATAAATTGAAGTGATGCTAACATAAAAAACGACTGTGATATACCCTGTATTCCGTCCCGTTTTTCTGCTAACCTGTCGCAATACATACATACATACATTAATAGAATAACACTCATACATACAATATACTCACGCATGTCGTTTTGCTGCGCATTTTATTCCGTGGCTATGATTCCTAATTTCAAAGTGAAGTGTGATATTGAATATGAATATAATTAAATGTGTATATGAATGGGTATATGTATATATGTACATACAACTATCATCACAGTTTTGGTGTCAATCTTATAAGTTAACTATTTCACATCTTTCCGTTTTCTTTGCACTTGAGATGTGCGAAAAACGCAAGTTCAAATATTGAAGTTCGATAAGATTTTATCTGTTTGTTATCGATGTTTGCAAACTATTTTGACTTTCGCGTGCAATTAGAGGACATGTACCTACATATTATCACTGGTTAGTGATATTATATGACTTGGTTGTTGAGCCTGTCAATAATAATTCTATACATACCTGCGTATATCACTAAAATATCATACAATGTGCTACCATTCACAATAGATGTTCAAGGTGCCACGAGGTCGTCCACTAGCCAATTTTGTCACATATCCGTCAATTCCTTTTCAGCGAACGTGGCTCAACTTGACGCACCTAAATCGGAAAAATTTCCTTTACTTGCGGTCGTGCACGTTCCTAAATGGTGTGATCCAGTCACAGGCAAAGCAAAGGCCAATCGATTTAATTTAATATACTTTATTTAGCAAATCAAACTAATTGTTCTTTGTTTTCTCATTCTAACATTATTTGGAGTATTTATAAAAGTATAAAAAATGTGTATAAAATTTATAGACTATGTTTTGCGCTTAACAATATTAAGAGATATAAATTGTTATATAATTATATATGTATGTATATATATATAAAGTATGACGGACAATAGACACATAGCAGGCAAATATCAAGACATGGCAGGAGCTGGCACAGGAAAATTGCCCTAAATAGGATCTTTAAAAATGGTGTAAAAAATTGCAAAATTGTCGAGATTTTCAGTTTGTTTCGAGGTCATATCCAACTTTTGTTTGTTTGTTTTTGTATCACACTGCTTCAGTCAGCAGCAGCTTAGATTAGTCAGCCGTAGTATTTATAGCAAATAATTAATTGCGTCCAGCCAGTGACTTTTCCTTATCGCTGAATAGCAAAATGCGTGTTAGCATCGTCGTGATGCAGGGTATTTGCTTCTGCTGATGCATCTCAGGAGTATCCGGTGTGCAGGACTCGAAATCGACGGCGACACGCTGGCAGACGAAGGTGAGCAGGGTGAGAATGTCCATACGCTTGCCATTAGCGGCCAGCTCGGCGCAGAGGCTCTGCATGAACCAACTGCCACGAGTGGTATTCCGCCACGAGTAGAAGCCCGGTATGGTGGAATAGGCGATCAGGAAATCGGCATGGATGGGGATCTTGTAGCTCATGGAGGAGTCGCCGTCCGTTTCGGTGCGACCACGTTGCATGGTGACGCCCGTATCCAGACGGTCACCCTGGCAGGCCTGAATGAAGAACAACTTGGGCTTGCCGGCCAGTGTGGGGCAATGATTGGCAGTGAAGTGACTCCAGACGTTGTCCAGCTTATATTGCGTATCCTTGGCATAGATATATCCCATTTCACCGTGCGAGAGTATAGCCACCAATATGCAATCGTTATGCGTGTGATCCTGTGACGCGGCATATTTAATGGTGCTCATAATCTCCTGATAGCGATAATCTTTGTACACACTGACATCAAAATCCAGTTGCTTCAGCACTCGAGACAGGTTCTCGCAGTCCACATTTGTGCCTGCACGCGACTTCAGGGTGGGCACATCGAAGTGCTCGTGATTGAAGATGATGGCCATGCCGCGATTCTTGTGCCGCATATTGTACTCGGCAGCATGTCGCTCGGTCACCATTTTGGCCACATTCTTGTGATATCCGGAGGAACTGTAGCCATTCGAGGCCAGCTGACCGATGGCGCCGCTACCAAAATGGCTTTGTTTATAAGCTGTCGAGGTCGATGCACTGGTGCTGCTGCTCGTGCCCACGGAGCCAAAGGCATCGGTTAAGTCGTCTGTATTGGTGGCGGCCTCGATGCGTATGCCTACCTGATCGGTGGACTCGATTTCGTTGTTGCTGCTGCTATTGTTGTTGGCGGCCATTGTGAAAAATTACCCTGTGAATATTTCTTGTTTTCTTTTCTTTTTTTTTTTTCTTTTGATGAGTCACACTTCACGGGTATTGTTGCCCAGGCAAACAGTTAATAGCAGAAATTATTTAACAATGCTTCCTTTTGGCATACAAATATATTTTAACTGCGAACACTTGTTGTTATAACAAAGAAATGCGATGCGAAACTGCAGCGATGCAGTAGTTTGTCTAGTTTGTTGCGCTCTCTTTGTTTGTTTTTTTATGTTATGGTTTTTGCAAACTTAACATGGCGCTGTTCTGTTAATAACAGCATGCAGTATTTTTACCGGTAAGTCTCGCTGTTGTAATTTAAAATGCAACACTCAGTTCGTTTATAACAAATGTTTTATTTATTTAATTAATTTTCGACTAACAAATTTAGCAAATTAAATTCAGCTGTAGTTGATTTTGATATTTTACTGCTGCTGTAAAACAGCCCAGCTTACTCAATAACAGAGTGGTGAATTGCAAAATGCAACTCGTTCTTAAATGCGAAAATATGCAATGCCAGAGTGCTTGCAAATATGAAGATGCTAAAGAATGTTAAGTGAATGAGAAATGAAAGAAAATGAAAACAATAAATCATTTGATGAATTTGAAAAGTGAATAAAACAACCAATTAGTTGAACACGATAATTTGGTTTAAATATACATGAATTCAATATATTTGTATAAAATTGAATAAACTCAATAATATTTTTTATGAAGCTGAAGCTAAATAAATTTAACAATGTTATATGGTTAGTGGTAATACTCAAATTGCTTAACTTTTCATTCAAAGCTCAGCGCGCGCACAAATAGCTTGATTTTGTGACGTCATAGCTTTAATAGAAATTGAGTTCTGTTTACAGCTGCTCTGTGGTGAAAATAACTTATCAGACTAATGTAAATCGATTCAAACGGCAGCGAACGTAAAATCTTGAAATCCAGTAAACCCAGCTTATATGTATGTATATATGTCTGTATGTATACACATTTATCCATAATTGTTACTTTCTTTTCTTTTTATCCGATGTATACATATATGGGAAGAGTGCCGTTTAAACTAGCATTGAGTACCATATATGTATGTATGAATGTATGTATATGTATATGTATGTATGTTTGATATTGGCTTAATCGTAATCAAATTTCAAGCCGCTTCCCCTTAAATGTTGCTCGGACCAAGAATCAAATCGTTCTGATATTTCGTCGGTCATGTGATTCCGCCAGTCGCCGACCTTGCCCTTGCGTATGAACTTCGTCTCTCGCTGCGGAATCAACTTCTCCATATTGATAGCCCCATTGCTTTGCATGCTGTCAAACTTCAGATGCTGGCAGATGCTCTTCATGTTCTCTTCATTGAGCAGCTCCGTAACATTCAGGAATTGAGCACATCGTCTTATCACGGCGGGCAGATCGCGCACCATATCCTCGTACTTGATAAACAAGACGTTGTCATCGAAGCTGCGCTTCCAGAAGGGCAGCACATGCTTCCAATACGAGCCCATGGGCGTGTGCCCGCCCAGAAAGAGGTCCACGAACTGCTCAAACTCTCCATTGATGCCATGGAGCAGCTTGCAGTAGTGATAATAGGAAACACACAGATCCTTCGGATTGCGAGCAGTGTACACAATTTTTGGCTTCACCGTGTCCAACTGCGAGGGCAGCAGCTGCCAGGAGAGATGCGACCGCGCATAACGTGGGCGGGGCAGATTCTTAACCAGCTCCACTGTGTTGCCAAAGGCATCGCTGTGGGTGGGTTAAAGTTATACCTGTATACCTGTAAGAAGTAGCGATGGATCTCTTATACGTACGACACCCACTGATGATGATCCGTGCTGAACAGAGCGGATAGCTCGATCAAGGGTGCGCGCATGCGCAAATCTTGCTTGGCCGCCTCGTAATCCAGCTGATGGCCCAATAGCCAGATCATCTCCTGCGCCCATGTCGAGCCGGTGCGAGGGTACGACACCATCCAAACATCATCCTTGTAGATGGGTAAGTCGCGTATAGACTCGCCCATTTCGATATACTTGCGTGGTATGATTAGCTGATCGGGCAGCACCTCCACGAAGCAATCCTGCACTGGAAACACAGCGTTCGTGCGACGCACTATATCTGCATCCAATTCCCGGTAGGTGAGCTGCATGATGGCGTTGCTACCTTTTCTCTGCACTGTCGGCCAACGACTGGCTGCAACAGCCAAGTGGAAAGTCAGCCCAAGCGTGCGGTGAAAGTGAGGCTAACGGGAATCCATCTAAGTTTTCCGCAACATGAACTTGTTTTTGCACCAACCGAAAAACAGAAACCGGCTCGCTGCCATCGCGAATGTAAACTGCAGCAGTTCAAATTGTTAGCCAAGTGCTCACCGCTCAATGCTCAAAGCTCAATGTCTAATGTCCCGGCACAAATCCGTCCAAGTTGGTTTACCCCACGCCCATTATCTGGCGTTTTGTTGGGGTTGTTTACGGCTTAATTTGGTATACTATACTACGTAAGTATGATGTTTCAAAGAGACATCGGATAGAGCATGATACTTATCCAGTTAGGGTTAATGATTTTAAGTTGTCGCCACAGTACCTGAAATTACCTAAATTACAGTTCAGTTCAAGTTTAGCAAACAGATTGGTATCTCCCACACACATATTAGCTAGACTTTTGTCGGGGTTGTTTTGGTTTAATTTGGTATCCCATATTTATGGTAGTACGATATTTTAGAGAGACTTCGCAGTGAGTTATCCATTTGGGGTTAACGATTTTCAATTGTCTTTAAAATGCCTAAACTTATCTTTATTGTAGTTTAAGTAGCTTTAATCATTCCTCTTTTATCTTTTTCAAAATAAGAGTTAATTTTATAGGCTGGTAAGCAGACAGATTTAATCTGGTTTGCTGTTCAATGAACTTAGCAATGATGAAGAATAGATTATTGTGAAGAATTTCACAAAGAAAAAAACTTGAATATATACTCTATGTATAACAAAAAAAGTTAAGAATACTTTTTAAAATCTAAAAATATTTTAATGATAAAAATAAAATAAATAAATAAAATAAAAAAT